ATAAAAAAAATAAAATAAAATAAAATAATAATAAAAAAAAAAAAATAATAATAATAAATAATAAAATAAAATAAAAATAAAATAAAATAGGTTAATTCATAAAAAGAGGTGAAAAACTCTATACAATTACAAAGGATAGCCATATTTTAAAAATAATTATTTAATTTAATTAAAGCATTCGCTTTCAATTAATAAAATATAAATTTATTAGGTGAAGAACTTTACATAATTAAAAATGCTAGCTATATTTTATTTAATCGTAATTATTTTTAATTTCATTTCATTCTTTAAAGTTTTCACGTTCATTGAATGAAATAAACGTAATAGGTGAAAAACTATACAATAAAAAAATTCTAGTCACATTTCAATTAAAAGTAATTGTCAATTAGATTAATTTCATAGTTCAATTAAAGCGTTCACTTTCAATTAATAAAACAAAAATGTATGAAGTGAAGAACTCTATACAATTAATGTACTAATAAAGGTGCTAGTCATATTTTAAAAGTAATTATTTCATTTAATTTCATACTTCAATTAAACATTTTGCTTTCAATAAATTAAAATAGATTAGGTGAATAACTCTATAAAATTAAAAAATACAAGCCACATTTTAATTAAAAGTAATTATTAAATTAATTAATTTCATACTTAAAGTGATCACTTTCAATTTATAAAATAAAATTATTAGGCAAAGAATTTCATACAGTTAAATATACTAGCCACATTTAATTAGTAATTAATCATTTAAATGAATTACTATTTAATTTAATTTCATACAAGCTTTCACTTACAATGAGTAGAACCATTAGAGTACCTGGCAACAAAATTCTATAAACAATATGAATGATTTACTCTTATTAATTTTATTTAGTTGTAGATATAACCATTGTGGATATTTATCATCATCAATCACTTTATTAATTAAAATTCAAAGTTACTGCATTTAGTGAAAGGTTTTGTTTGAAAAGTGTGCTTATGGCATCTTGCTTTAAAATAAATGCCATTTGATTTGAAATGTTCTCATCTACAGCAATGCCAGTCATACATCTTTAATGTCTAAACACTTTTTAGAGAACAATTTTATAGCCAGATGTACTAAGACCTACTACTATAACCAGATTTACAATTGTATAACCAAATCTAGTAAGATTGATATTTAAGACTGGAAAAAAGAAGGGCAATGGCCTAGTGTCAGTCTTGGATTGTGCAAGAGCACCACTATGTGGCACAAAGCGTTATCATTCTCTTGCATGAAGATGTACTAAGGACAGCTGTATAAAATGATTCATTTGGCATGACTGTGCTAAGATAAAAAGCTTGATTGCTGCAAAAAGGAATAACTGTTGCAAGTCACTTTCACAATAAAAATATCAGCATAACTTGCAGTACCTGCTGGAGGCTCATCCTTCAAGTATGCAGGCAACTCATCCCGTTGCTGGTTTGTTTCACTCATTTTTACTCTGCATTAAAAAAAATAATAAATAAAATGTGGCAGTTAGAATACCCTCCTTTATTTTCCACAGAAGAAATTTAAATTTGTCTTCCAAGAATCAAGAATCTGGGCGGGACCAGACACAGAAAACAAGGTGAAAGGTTGGCACTAAAAATGGGCTTCAATCCAACAAGAACTGACACAGAACAAGGCAGACCAGTTTACTCTGTCAACAAAAAGTATCCTGCAACACCCTGTCAACATTGCCAACAGGTAGACTGGACTATTTAAGGACAAATAAAATTATTGCATATCAGATCCTCCATACCAAAATTCATAAATGGTTTTAAGCAATAATTTGGACAAGATGACTATTGAAATTATAAATATTTATTTTTATTAGTAAACATGAGGGATATTAAGAAATCATAATTAAATATTAACATACAGCAGATACAATATGAAACACTGTGATGCAAATGTAATCATTTATTGTCCTGAAGTCATACCTAAAGGGACATTACCAAGGACAATAAAGATAAAATAAAGCTCATTGAGCAGTATATTAATACGTGTACAGTTAAAGTAAGCAATCATTGAATGAGTGGAAACGAGTGAATGAATCAGGGTCTTGAGTCAACTTTATGATGTAACAAACCAGTGCATTATTAATATCAAGTCTGTCCTAAAGCGAACTCTAGTAAAGGGAGGTAAGACTCATGTTATTGAATCGATTCTTTCGCATTTAAAAGAACCGGTTCAAAAGAAAGAAAAGATTAAGCGACTCTTTTAAGTCTTGACCAAAGTACTTCAGTAGCGTGGTCACATTTACACATTCATTTATTACATAAACTATTCTATATGTAAAACTACAATATGAAGTCATAGCTACACATATTTCCAGTGCGTTTATTTGTAATATTTCTCCAATTATAATACCTTCGACTGACACAGTGAAATACGATAGACTACTATTTCGAAACTGTGAAAGACGGTTGAGGGAATTGTTAACTCGGGAATCGTTAATCCGGTTTTGTGAACGGTTTTAAACGATTCATTAAAACGACTCAATCGAATGATTCATTCATGAATCGAACATGATTATAAACCTTAGCGGTTTCTAAATATGACGTGGCACTTGTGTGAGAAGTATTTTCTTTCCTTTGGAATAAATAATAATAATCTGGGCTTAAATTAACTCCCTTTCACACTACATTTACACGTTAGGTGAGAAAGAACAATAAGGGCTTCACAGTAAATTATATAGTCACCTTTACGAAGAAAACATGTTAACCAAGCGAAGGAAACTTCGACTTAGGAAACTAAAGAGCCAGAAGCAGATCTTGCTTTGAAGATAATTACATGAAAACAGGGCAGCTCATCAAACGACAGTTACATGACGTTAGGTAAGAGATGCATTAGACAATCCAGCCATTGTCCACCGAGTCAATATGCATCCCATAATATAATTAGTAAAAAATATCCACATCCCCTCGAAAAACATGCAGAAGTAAAACTTTGCTAGCTGTCGTGTATATACTTACGAGTTTTACGAGTTTGCTTCTATAAACTTCTGCAGATGAAGTTGGAAACTTCTGTCTCCACCCCTTGTTTGTTTCAGAGGGAAAATATGCTGCTCCCTTCGGCGATTCAGAAAGACACACGCTAAAATTAGGATGGATCCCGCAACCTGACAAGACTTTTCTTATAAAGACCTATCTTTGCATAATGTGTACGTGGCGTCCTAGCTGTTTTTAACCACGTACCAATGTGGACACATAGGAGAGGAAGTGACGTTTTGGTTCTTACCCCTTTGGTGTGTGTGTGAAATGACTTCACTATACTCTGGCTGTGTGTGAAGTATGGTGAAAATGGAGGGTGTATCTGTGCTCTGTGCACCTGAGTTCTTTGGTTTTTCATTGACTGAGATCTGATAATGGACATGGATCAATTAACTTGTCTTTTTGAGACAAAAACTCTGAGGATAGACAGCAAAGTGATAACAGAAAAAGTCATATTTACTTGATAATTAGGCCTACATGACTTATTTGCCATGTAAAGTATACTCTAAGAAATGTCAATAAAAATAAGGCCCAATGTGCTGTGTTATTACGGAATTTTCTGTATTGATTTTTCCTGTGTTTAACCTGTATTTTGAATTACGCTTTTCATTGCGTTGTGGTTTACGGTTAAAGGAAATGCCTGTAAATGTAACAAATAATGAAAATTACCAGTAGCTTTTACTAGTCTATTTTTTTTCTTAGCCTGTAGCCTAGGTGATTTCTACATTGCATGATTGTTAGTAACAGGGCTGTGTGTGCCATTCAGAATTGAATTAAGAATGCCTTTTAAATTCTAATTTGAATTTGAACATGATGTGGAATTCCTATTTGAATTTAAAATAAAATTAAGTGAAATTCTAAGAAATTATTAGCCTATCACTGTTTTAAAGTGAAGTTCTAAAAAAAATCATATTATTTTCAGTTACCCACAAACATGTTTATTTTCATTATGGACATAATGTGGTATTTCTGAAAATATGAAGACATTATTAATTAATCACAGCATTCAACAGTAAAATATTTCTGAATAACTCTTGTCCAGGGCAACATTGTGTAACTGACTGCTCATACATGGTGCTCTCTCTGTTCTCTACATGTATGCTAATACAATTATTTTATGGGCCTATTAATATTTCATATCTATCTATATATTTAGGTATATTTGTAGAAATTGGGATAATGTAGGCTACATAGCCAACAATCAGCTGTTCATTTACTCAAAATAAACCCCTTCAGAATGACATACTGCATTGTGTCATGACCACATTACCACCTTTATTCATTTTTAATAAGTCGTCAACATTTCCTTACTTAATATTCAGTGTTTGAAATTCCACATGTGTATTCATATATCTCATAGATTAATTTTTGGACTATGTTGTGAAAAACACATGCACTAATTTACGCAAAGGTCTTCAGTATGAAACCACTGGATTGCCGGTTGCTGTAATTCCTCTGTTGTGTGACTGTGCTGAATTTCTTAATTTGCAGTTCTGTATATTCCACTTCATGTCATTCAAGTTCAACATCCTGTGGGCTGTGGCCAATTTACTCATGAATTGAAAAGGGAGTCAGTTCTTGAATCTGAATTTTGCTTTATTGTATAAAGCAAAAGCTGTTATGTTTTGCATAGAGATCCTGCCCTGTACTGTTCAATACAGAGACATAAACTGTTTAAGTAGGCCAACTTCAGTAAACTGTGGATTGCATATAATAAGATTTTTTAAATTATTTAAACAAATTAATCTAGCATTGCCTATTGGCTGTTGATTTGCAGCAGCTGTAACAGGGATGTTTTCCCGCTCTTATTCATAAAATGACGTACTTCCTGCATGGCCAACCAGCTTGTAATGTTTTGCGGGAACGGTGGACTTCCACAGATTCAAACATGACATTCATTTTACAGTAGATATCACGTTGATATATTTGTAATTCTCGATCTTTTATTTTGTCGCGAGGGATCTCATCGGTTCGCTGCTGTTCGTTTTGACTGGCTTCCCACCTTCCTCAGTCTGGTAAACAAATACAGAGGCAAGTAACTAATTACTTAGTTGTTTGCTTCATATACTAGAGGCATTTAACCTTTGAAAAGCGTATTTCAAGTTATTAGCCAAAATCACATATTCTCGCATTCTCTTACCGCTACACTGAATGTTTTAAGCAATATCAATGGTTTTGATATGAGGTCATATATTTAATGCAGTGTTTCATCATTGACTGCATTGTAGCAGCGCCGCCAGAGAATCAAATACAGTGTTCACTTGCAACTCATTACACAGTGTATGAATGTGCAGATTATTGCGTAACAAAGCGACATGGGTGATTATTACGACAAAGAACGCGCCCTGAAGCGATGTTCTGCTTCTGTAGTAATGCGCCATATTATTATTTTTGATTTCTATTTAAAAAAAAAAAAAAAAAACATGGGCCTTTAAGGCCTTTGCTTAAGTGATTGTAACTTAACATTAACATTAGGTATTTCGTTAACAATGGGCACTTTCATGCCACAGCTGGGTTGATTTTGATATAATTAGCATCAAATTAACGGAAACTTAAAAAAAAAAAAAAAAAATTCCATTTGATGTACAGATTTTGTTTGCCTTTATCTCTCATTGCAATAAATAAATAATAATAATAATAATAATAATAATAATAAAATTTCTATAAAAAAAAAAATCTAGCTTAAGCACAAAATATTTATTGTGTGAAAAGTGGCCCTAGTTGTTTCTATATTTGAAGAAACACCATTTGAAGAGTGATTTCATTATTTTAGTGATATCAATAGCCTTTGCTTTGCGTACATTTTTGTCCCTAAACTCACTTCAAATATTTAAATTTACACACATTTAATGTATTGGGTTAATAAAGTTTTGTCCCAATATTATACCCTGTTCCCTCAATTTGCTGCACTTTGGCCACTGAGTGGCAGCATTTAATAAAATTAAGCCTTCTGGATAGTGTGCTGATAGTTCTTGTTATTAGTTTTGTGACAGTTTTCTGCACAGTCTGAAATTAATTGAATGTAATCAGAAAAAAGACCATGTACTATAAAATAAAAGCAAGAAAATGTCTTCTACATAACTTAAACACAGTCTGGTTCATGCATAAATGATTCGCATGAGGGTCCTTCTGCATGACTGTAAGAACCACTTCAAGTTATGGGGTTCAGTCTAATGACTCCTTCACTGAATGAATGCATTGAATCATAGTGGTTACTTTATCATTTTTGTTTGTCTTATTATTATTATTATTATTATTATTATTATTATTATTAATAATCATCATCTTATGGTTACTAAGGCAACATCTTTTTTTTCCTGGGATGGCAAAGCTGAATTTTTAGCAGGCGTTCTGTCCATTTTGTGCTCCGATAACATTTGAGTACAAGTTGTGCTTCTTAATATTTGTCTCAAGTTGACCTTTTGATGAATAGAAAGTTAAAAAGAACGTGAATTATTTGCCTTGTCTTTTGAAATTGTGACAGCAGGGGGCGCTAAATGACAGGCCCTTATCCATGAGGTGGAGAAACTGGTCTTTGATGAGGGCCACATTAACTTTGTAACTGTAGCTGTGTCTCCACATCATGCATAGGGGGCAGCAGACATCAAAAGCTAGCTGTATACAAGGACACATTAAACTGATTTGTAGTGTATATTTACCTTTTATGTGTTGAGTTTTAAAGTCAGCTTTTGGTGTTTGAGAATTATCTCCCAGTACAAAAATGGATCTAGAGGCTTTTAGTCTGTTTCCCCCCTCTCTAACATTAGTATATAAATATTAAAAGTGCCATATAAATGGGAAAGCATGACATTCCATACTAAAATCTTCCATCAGTCCTTTTTTTTTTTTTTTTTTTTTAAGCTGCTTCTCATCAAACAGCTGAACTAATTAAGCTCAATTTGTCAGCAGTGAGAGGCCAGAGATGTGTGCTAATATCAGCACAATGACTCTGTGCTGTCTTACTAACTCTGAGTCTGACAGCCAGCTCATTCCTGCCCTGACTGCCCGTTGCTAACCTCTTCTCCATGGTTTCAGTCACACCACTGCTTGTGTTGGTTTTTGCCTCTTCTTTGGCGTGAAGCCTCTGTGCCTATGAGTAGTGAAGTCTTTGTTAGACAGCAGAGTTTTGCTTATTTGTCTGCAAGTTTTTTTTTGTTTTGTTTTTTCAACTTTGCGTTCATCAATAGTGAATTATCAAACGTAGTAGTATTACTGTTTATAAAAATAGTGATTTATCAAACTGTTAGCTAATAATAAATAGTAGTGATAATTTATCTAAATATTAGGTATCAAACTGACAGAATATTATCAATTATCTTTTTTTTTTTATTGTGTGTGTGTATATATATATATATATATATACATTTTTCCTCAAATTCAACAAAATACTTTTTGTCTGGTTTAAAATGCCTGGTTTTACTCATTTGGAGGGCAAAACATTCAAATTTGTTATTGTTCTGAACATTAAAACAAAAAGAGCAATGCAAAGTGAGACAAATACTGACAACATTACTATTATAAAATAAAAAGGGATTTTTTTGGTGTGTTTTATATTCAGTTCAGAACATTAAAAGAAGTTCAATAAAAAGCGCCCATCCATAAAAAAAAAAAAGTGTCTCACACGGCTCCGGGGGGTGAGCAAAGGCCTTGTAGCGAATCGATGCATTTTTGTAAGAAAAATATCCATATTCACAACGTAATCACTTTAATGTAGCTTGTGCCAACAGTTGTACACGGAAGCAGCTCTGGGCGGATGACGTATGAGGTCAGCGTTGCGCATGGAGACCGGTGAGTCTCGTGAAAACGAACGTTTGTTTACAGGATCAAAGGAAGCAAAGCTTCCTTACGTTAGCAACGGAAAACCAGTCTCCTCTTGGCTTATATCCAAATCCTCTGACATTCTTCTTTACAAATCCTCGTTTTGTACTTCTAATTCTTGACCGTTGTTTTGTTTTGATCTCTCCCCTGCGTTTCCGCGTGTGTCACTTCTGAGCGGCGCATGCGCAACGCCGACCTCATACATTCCCCCGGAACTGCTTCAGTTTACAACAGTGAGTGCAAGCTACGTTAAAGTGATTTACGTTTTGAATATGGATATTTTTCTTACAAAAATGCATCTATTCGCTACAGAAGGCCTTTGTTCATCCCCCGGAGCCATGTTTTTTTTTTTGTTGTTGTTTTTTTAAATGGATGGGCGATTTTTAAGTTATTTTGGACTGATGCATGCAACACCTGCTGAGTGGCATTAAATGGCTTGAAAGATCAAAGACAATTTTTAATATAACTCCGACTGACTTCGTCTGAAAGAAGAGAGTCATATACACCTAGGATGCCTCGGGGGGGGTGAGTAAAACGCAGCCTAATTTTCATTTTTGGGTGAACTAACACTTTAAGTCACATCCGGCCTTTGACATTTATATTTTATGAGTGCCTCCTGGAATTCACTCTGCCTGGAGCTTGCTGTTTGTTTGTGAAATGGATCATTTGAAAAGGGTGTTTTTTTTTTCCCACACTTAAGGACAAGTTTTCATGCATTTAGAGTCCCAGATTGTGACAAAACACATTGTACTGCAGACTTCTCCATGCTTGCTGTTTGTGCAAGTCTTAAGCTCAGCTGTGAAATATTGGATGTACGCAGCAGTGTCTCTGTGCTTAGCAGGGAGACAAAGGCAGTGACCTCCCATCCCCTGTAGTTTTTAATAGTTCTGTGGGAGTAGCCATTACAGCAGTGGAGGTGGGAGAGGGGGATCTCATAAGGACCAGCCTTGATGCACTTAAAAAGATTAAATAACCAACAAATGACTAATTCAGTTTCATCTGCAGCCAGTTTTGTGTGAGTTGAGTTATAGCCACTTATAGTGTGTTTTGGTTTGCAGGTTGCCAGATTTTGTTCAGCTTGGTAGTTGTTTATCACTCTGCACACTGAGCCGTTGTCATTGTAAATGTGATATCTATGCCTCTTTCGGCTGTGATGAGGTTTGTCGTTGAAAGGCCCGTCTTATCGCATTTGTATGCTGTGACGCAGGCCTTGGATGTATCTCTTTGTATCCAC